TAGGAATACAGGTAGTCCCTGGGTTAAGAAGGACACATAGTTAAGAATGGAGCATATTGTAGCAAAATTCAAGTTAAATACACAATGATTCGAGTTAAACACACAATGGCTTGAGTTAATTACACAATACTACTTACAGAGCATTATACAATAATACTGTTCCAGCTTACATACTAATCTGACTTAAGGACAGACCTTGGGAACAGAACTCATTCTTAAACTGGGGACTACCTGGTTAAAGTGTTCCTACCATCAGTCTCTTGGCTTGCAAATCTTCACCTTAAACTGGTAATGTCTGTGATTCTGTTTCCATTTGCACAGCAGGTTGATGCAATAAAGAAGCCACTATAGAGCTATGTTTTCTGTACAGTCTGAAGAATGGTAGCACAATAAACAGTTCTCTAGTTGTTTGTGCTGCTTTATTTAATTTAGGAGGCTTCCCTTCATCTTATTTGTAATGAAACTCCTAATATTGAAAGTCCAGTTGATTCTAAGATGACAATTTAGTCCTATAGTATTAATTGGGAAATAAGTCACATTAAACACAGTAGTATTTACTTCTGTGTACATATGCAGAAAGGTATCCTGCTAGGTAATGGGTAATGTATGCATTGGAATTTATTCTAAATTAACAGCATATTTTTTTCTCCCAGGCTAATTGTACAAAGGATAATCAGTGTCTTAAATACATCTTCCTCCTATACCCACTTAATTTCAAAAGATCTGATCTTGTTCCCACCTTCACCTTTTACTATCCCCCTTAAGGAACTAGTTACATAATGTAACAAGATTATTAAAACTATAGGCCCATACATTTAATTATTTACTAGCAGGATACTCACATTAGGATAAACAGGCTTCCTTGGGAGATGTCTTGTAAGCATGTGTTGTAAACCCCATTCAAAAGCCAGTCTCCTTTGGTTATTTGATGCAGTTACATTGAAGAATCCTCAAAGAAAGTATTAACTTTACCAACCGTGGGATCTTTTTTTGGAGAGCGGTTATTGCTGAATCTTGCAAAGTTCAGGTGGATTGTGAATTTATATCTAGTCCTGTCCAACCCATCCTGTCCAATTCATCATCTGGGTCAACAGGCTGACTGCTTGCCTCCTGGCCATTCTGGTCTGATCCCATTATTTTGGGATCAATAGTAAGGTTGATGCAAGTGTTGCTATTTGTAACAATGATGTTGCAAGTCACGTATTGCCTGTAAACCTCCAGTGACGATAAGGCTGAAAACTGACAATT